GGGATAGAGGTTGGGTTATGGACAGGTTTGGTGGTATGGGAAGGTTTAAGGGTGGGTTGAGGTGTAAGGGATGGTCAACAGTGTATTTACAAATGTAATTACAAAAGTTAATTACAGATGTAATTACTTACATGTATTTAATCAAGCATAAGTACACAGTAAATACATGTATTTACACAATAAGTACATTGTAACAAACTATTAATTACTATGTAAGTACATATTAGTTAAGGCCACTTAATATAAAGTGGGACCTTTAATTTTATTTGATTATATTTTGTTTTCTTTAAATTTACTAAAATATATGTAGACTTTTTACCTGAATCTTTGTTTTGAGTGTATTGTTACACTCAAATAACACTCAAGTAACATTCTTGGTTGTATAAACTCAATCTTGAGTCATATGGACAAAAACCCCACCATCATATTATATTATGAATATAGAATGAATATTTTTATAGTATCCTTTACTGTTAAATAAAAATATACATTAAATAAAAAACCCACGTAAATATCACAGTTTAAAAATTAGTACACACCAATTAATATGTTGGAAAAAAAAAGCAGAGAGAGAGTGGAAGAATCAGCAACGGACCTAGAGCAAGGAATCTAACTTGCTTCGCTGTGAGCACCTGTATATAGCAGTGCTATATGTCGGCATACTTTACCACTAGGATATTGGCGCCAACAAAGGGTATAAATGTTAAACAATAAGTAATAAACAGGAAAAATGAAGAGAAACTAGGACTGGGCAATAAAATCAATACCAGTATTTATTGACGGAACACCATTGTCAATTTAGATTTAAAAAAGTTTTGGTATGAAGCGTTATAGTTATATTTAAATGTAAGCTTAAAATAAGCTTAGGGTGTTAGTTTGTCATTTCTTATGGAGGCGCTCGCCACATGGGTACGAAGTGCACATGGTATGCAAGTGATCATTTTCTAGGTACACCAAGTTGAAAAACATCTGAACTTTTCCAAATACCCCAAGCGCTACAACTAACCAATCTACTTCACACTTTGTATGGAATATACACATTTCAATAATAACGGCAGACTAATTACCTCAGACAAACACAAAGCACGAGCTCTCGCTTGTCACCTAGGGTCAGAATAACACCACACATGAAAATGACTGTCATAAAGCAGCAGTGAGGAGATTGTAAATAAAAAAAGGATGTCACCTGAGTGGGTTTTTGGTTTCTTTCCTTGTGCATCCCAGCCACTAGCACCCCATGTGAAATATTTTTTAGCACCGGGGTAATGTAGTCATTCATCTTCGCAATTTGTAATGTTGCAATATGTATTTGTTAAATTATGGTTAGTTCCTTGACTTGAAAGCTCAGATCTGATTATCATAATTTGTTTTGTTTACAGAGTTTGAGGTTTACTGTATCGTTATTATTCACACCTTACAGATGTGAATCTATGTTTACCATTGCACACACTTTGTAACATTTTATTAACCAAGAGTCTCTTAAACACTTAAGTTTATTTTATTAAAAAGAGACAAGCTTTTTTGTTTAAACATTTTGGTTTTGGACTATTATAACTATTTGCCTTAGTAATGTTGGTCACTTAAAATAAGGTGGTTAAATAAAAATCCTTATATTCCTTAATGGATTGTTAAAAAATTCAATAATTATCGATATCGAATGATATGAAACCTGATATCAAAATAATTGTTTTTGCAGTATCGGCCAGCCCTAGGAGTAACATAAAATAATATACAATTTTATTGAAAGTTTGTAGTTTGTCTTTTTTTTTTTGGCAATAACTCATTTAAATTCAAATGATCTTTTTATTCCTTAAGATGTTCAGTGAGAACTCCTATTTTAATGGATATAACTGGATATGGATATAACTGGATAAAATGGTAGAATACACCAAAATATATTAGCTCTATTTACTGAAAAATGGATCAAATATTCATTTTCAAAAGGGAGTGTACTCATTTATGTGGAGGACTGTATATATTATGTAAAACATCTGTTTTGTTAGCAATAAAATACTTTAGGCTATCAAACATTAGTTTGATTTGTAGATTCAAAAATGGATTCAGATGTACATATCTTGAGTATATGTCTTTTCATTTTATTCTGAAGTTTCTTCTAGATGAATAATATAAATGATTTCGTTTTGCAAGACTTAATGTGTCCCGTTATGCTACAAATACATCTTCCTCTATATGGGAAGTCTTGTGTGTTCGTGAATAGAGTCTGTCATGTGAAAGGATCCTCCTGGCACCACAGGAACTACCAGCTCTATAGTGTCGCCTAGAGCCAGTCATAGTGCCGTCCTTTTCTGTTCAAACAGAGCAATGTTTTCTGACCCACTGCGCCCTGCCAACCCTCTGACCCCTATAGCCTTTGTATTCATTTACTCCCAGATATGGAGTTTCCATTTAAGCAATTCACGTCGTCTATAGATAAGCTCGCCACATAAATGAGCTCACAAAATGCTTAGAGGATCAATTATGAATGAGTCCCATGGACATATTGATTTTCGGATTCAATTTTGTAATGATAGTCCATCCGCTGACATCCGGTGTTCGTATTGAAGGTCAAATTAATGGTATAGTGCAGTGGTGGGAATGGGTGGATGAAGGTGACTGGAGGCTACCGCTGTGGTGAAGTTAAAGTCAGTGTGTTTACGTCAACAAAACCCTGAATGCAGTGACGATCTGCCTGTTTGCATATGTAAAACACGTTTAAATGAGAATTTAATATAATTTTAAGTGGTAAATGTTTAATTGAGGCTTTGCGATAAATGGTCGATTTTGGCCACTAAGGTTCTACCTGCACCTGGTATTAAGATGCATTTTTTGAAAATCTCACTCAGTGTCCAATATATACATAAAAGGAGATAATGGAAAGCTATATTGAAAACAACAGCTTTCACTGCTTCTCTATAGATGCAAAACCACATTGAATGCTGTGCGTTTGTCTTACATTCAGAACTGAAGGGAAGATGGTGCTTTTATGTTTAGAGATACGTGAAAATTTGGAAATTTCACTGAATATACATGCTACATCTTTGTGAAACTGCAAAAAAAAAAAAAAAACACTTAAACATACATTTGACTGCAGTTTATTGGTAAAATATTGGCAGGGACTGTTATCGATTAATACAAGTTTATTCTAGTGCAGTTGTTCTGCTTTAAAAGCATCACAAAAGGTTTGGCTAAAGGCTAAAGGTTTGGTAAAGCATCGTTCCACGTTCCATGCGTAAGATATAAAAACAATGTAAAAAACAAGTTAAAAATACGTGGTCACATTGCACTTTTCTCTTACATTTGCTTTTTTTTAAATTAGTTTGGTTTAGTGAATGATTTAGATCAGTGTTCCACTAGTTGATCTGTATGACATGCCCTACCTTCTTGTGGAAGTGTACGAGAAAAATGTGCACCTAAATTGTACAAAACACACGCTTGAGGCTGATTTATATTTCTGCGTCGAGTGATCACCATGACCCACATCACTGTTGGGCGTTGTCGTGCATTTATACTTCTGTGTGCTATTTGTGGTGCACCTCCGAAATGCTAGTTGGCAGTAGGTTTTTATGTTCCTCTATGTCGAGTTTCTTTGTGAGTGTTAGATGTAGCTAAAACTTGCTCATTTAGCGGCAGAAACTGGCGGACGTGCAACAACTTTAATCATAAGTTAAACACAAAACAAACGTTTCCATCTAGAGCTCCTTCACTGGAGTCGACACTTGTAAACACTTGTAAACACTCCATCTGGTTTGCGCGCCCCTCGGTCCCGCCCACACTTGTCAGCGCTACCAAGCCAACCAATCACAGAGCTTGTGCTATGCGTCATTGCGATGTTTAGTTAAATTTTTTGAGATGTGCATATCAGCATTGGCATCAGCCACGGTGAAGGCTATGTGCTGGAGCATACGTGTGCGCTTGACGCAGAAGTATAAATCAGACTTGAGTTTTGTGGCCAATTATTTTTCTAATGAGCCAGGGCTGATTATTTGACACCCCATTGTACCTGTATTGTCCGCTATCACGTCTTCAGAAATACATGAACTTTACCAGCTCTAAATGTGACCTTTTAACGTAATTGGTATTAATCCAGAAAATGAAATTATAAATCAATAAATAAAAATGCTAAAAATAAGGGTATTGAATTGGGGTAGTAGACTAGGTTTTGTATAAAATATATATAATATTTCAGAATCCCTATGCAGACTAAAGAATTATACATTTTTATAGACACTGGAATAGGTGTCTTTCAACAACACTGTTTTTTGTAATCGAAGTTTAAAAGCGGGCCACGGGGATCCATTGCTTTGCCCCACTCAGTAAGTCAGTAGGTCAAGAAACGGCATGATGGCTGGAATCCTCTAGTGTTTTCATTCCTCTTGTGTCTAATCCCTTCTGATGACACTATTAAAGTGAAGATGCGTCTTGCCAGGGACTCAAGTCCTGCTTACTCACTCCCAGCTGTCTCAAAGACTTGATAATCACGCTAACTCTTTTACACCGAGATTTAAAGGCACACCGGTAGTTTGTTTGTTCTGTAACAACTCAGAAAGCATGCAATAATGTTTGGAAAGTAGGTTTACAAGCTGTTCGACCAGTTGCTTTCAGTATGCAAATAAAGGGTTTAAAAGAAAGAATGTCAAATATTTGAAGAAAAGCGTGTCGTTTTTTACTCATTATCACATCAAAGGGAATTCCATAAATAACACTAGTCTTAAGACAAGTTTTGTTATAGTCTCCCAATAGTTGGTTATATACATTATGTAGTAACTTGCTGTTTCAGGCTGTTTAAACACAAGGATCAGTGTTTTATGAGTTTTCACATTTGACTTATAGTTTTCTCTTTATGTTGGGACAGAATCATCTGTATTGAAGACAAGAACATTTGCCACTAATAATCAAAATAGTTTTATTTATAATATTTACCGCACTTTCCTTTCAGTATGGGGTGGGGGAACTATAAAAGAATGCCACACTAAAAATTCTAATCTCTTTGTTCTTGTTAGGTTGAGACAATGTCGGAAGAGGCTCAAAATAGAGTAGATGAGGACTTTGAGTCTGAGGAGGGTGATTTGGAGTCCTATCTAGAGGAAGAGAGTAGCAGTGAGCTTCTGGAGCGAGTGAGAGAACTTCAAGTAAGTGCCATATACTTTCACCAAGAATGCAGTTTTGTTTACTTTTCTTCCTTGACTTGCTGTTTAAACTGGACTATTTTTGTATAGGCAGAGAACTCTGCCCTTTCATTAGCAAACGAGAGTCAGAGAGAAGCATATGAACGATGCTTGGATGAGGTGAGTTGAATGTTGTTCCTTACCAATCTATGCATTTGACTTTTTTAGATATCGGATCGTTTTTCCTAATGCAGACAGTCAATTAGTCAGATAAATAAATAAAATATCCCTGAAAGTACACAATGTTAACATCATGTCTTTGATGTAGGTGGCCAACCATGTTGTCCAGGCTTTACTCAATCAAAAGGTACAAAAATTGTGTTTTTTCTTCAGCAACATGTTTGTAAGGTTTATTTAAACGGCAAAGATAAAAGGTTCTTTTTTATTTAATATGTTTATTAATTTATTATTATTTGTTATAAATAATCGATAATGATGATTTTTTTTTAAATTTGTGGTTGTATATTTTATAACTGCCATGCATATTTTAGCCATATGTTTTTCAGATGATTTATTTAATATTATGAATTATTCTTTTAGGATCTCAGAGAGGAATGCATCAAACTGAAAATGCGTGTTTTTGATTTGGAGAGGCAGAACAGAACACTGTGTGAGCTTCTGCAGGAGAAACTGCACAGTCAGTCTTGTGTACATCAGCAGGTAAATGATTAAAACTTGCAATGGAAAATGCACAGTGCATGCCTTCTAAGTTGATGTTTTTCACAAAACATTCTTCAAACTCCACTGGGATGACCTATTAGGTTTGTTTGCAAATTGGAGAAAATGGCTCAATTAACGTCTTCCTGTTTAATTTCCCTGTGCTCCTCAGGCAGCATTTTTTTTCCCTGTAATTACAAGAAATTTGTTTGTAAATGGGCAAATACCCTTGTTTTACATGCATTCCTGTGATACCCTTGTTGTGCATGAATACTTGGGATGTTCTGCATAATCCAATAATTGATTCATATAATAAGAAGCTTAAGGCTTACCTGATGTTTCTTATCAAAGCAGCCAGGACCCTGTCTGGAGCACATTGGTGAGCTACAGCAGAGTGAATCTACCAAACTGATTGAGGCTCAAAGGAATGCACAGGCCAAGGTAGGAGCCATACACAAAATCTTTGTTGAATCAATCTGAGATGACAAATTCCTTATTCTTAGGATTTGTTTTCACAGGGTAACAGCGAATGTGCACAAAATTCCGTACCCGAGACTCAAGGCTCGTCCACATCCATGGAGGCCATGTCCCCATTCTTGAAGAAGAAAGCACACATTTTGGAGGTTCTCCGCAAACTTGAAGAAACAGATCCACTTCGGTACCATCGTTCCTCTGGCATTCCCTCCATCTGTGACTACAGTCAGGCTCTTGCCTCTAAGGAGGCTGTATTAGCCTGCAGAGACAATACATCCAGGTGCAATGCACCCAAAGCACATTGTTCCCATTCCTGTCCAGATGTTTGCACACATCAGCATTTGAATGGAGGAGAGCACAGCAATGTAAAGTGTGGTAGTTGTAGCACATGTTTGATGCTGTCCAATAAAGATTCCGTCAGCTTAGCCAAGAGTAGCCACAACTGTTGCACTTCAACCCCCATTACCATTGATAACCTCAATTTGGCTCGGCCCGATTTCCAAGAGAATGTGGAAATGCAGAGCCTTGTGAAACCTGCCACAGGTACAAGTGAACTGTTTGTAAACAGGACTTCTGGAGATATGTCGATTCTTTCAGCAGAGCAAGGTCTTATACCGTCAGTTGATCCTCACTCATTAGAAGCCCCTGAATCATACTCAAGATTGACTATTTCAGAAAGAGATCAGCCAAGGGGAGTCTCTGACCATGTGTTGGTAGATACAAGAGAAAAGAATAGGTTGTCTGATCTTCTCCTTGAGTGTCAATCCAACAGGTCAAGCAGCAGCACCTGTAATGAGACTATTTGTGACGATGGCACAATTGATGTGGTGCTGCTAGACTCAGATTTAAAGCACTTAAATGCTATAGCACCTCAAAGGCTTGATAAAGAAGAGTTTGCGACAAAGGATGACTCTGACTGTGTCTATCGAGCCAACATAGCCTCCTCAAAGCTGCCTACTCTTGGACTAAAAGACACACACTGTGAGATTGACAGCAGCGAACAGGTCCACAAAGGTCTGTTATTTTCTCCCAATGAGAATCATACTGCCTCAAAAGTACTGGATGACATCTCTGTACCTGTAAAAGATACCCCATCTGACCCTCAGTCCATTAGATCGAAAGTTGCAGTCAGCCCGAGTCAAGTTTCCTGCCTTAGAGAGGTCAAGGCCTCACCCTCCAAACTGCTCAAGTTCCTTAAGATCCCCACTATTGGAGAACGTACTGCAGTACCTCCACCTCGTCTCAGTCCTCAGTTGACAAGAAGCTCAAAGATTCCTTGCCGGAGCAACAACTATGAGGTGCACAGTTCACCTGTAGCCACACGAAAAGCCACCACGACTGAGAGGCAAAGACAGGTGACCCCTCCAAAATCAGAGTCACACTCTGCTCCAACTTCTCCACCCCAACCTGATGATGTCCCCACACCTTTGCCAAAGGATCTTGGTTGTGGTATCCCTAAAACAAGTCGTGTAGCTAAGCCTACACAAAGTACTCACAATCAGAAAACCCCTCAGAAAATTCCACACTACGAAAATGTCTCAGATATCTCCAAAACGAGCAACACTGATGTATCCCAGCTGCTTGGAGAAGTGAGCTCATCTCTTCAAAATTCCAGCCCTGCTAATGAAGGTGCAAAAGGAAAGCAGACAAAGTTTGGTGTAGAGAGACCAACGAGTCTTAAGCATAAGGAGATCTCACCAGAGTCAGATTCTTCAGACCAAGAGGACAGCTCGGAGAGCCCAGTGTGGCATAAGCAAGTCAATCATCGCAGTCTGCCCAGTCAGTCATCATCCCAGAAGGCTCAGACTGGGATTAGCACTAGATCAAGGAGCCAAGAGAAAAATGAAATGGCAGACAATGATTCACAGAGCTCAGAATCACCTTTTAAAAGGAGCGATCCACCGCCTGTTCCTAAGAAATCAGGGATTGGAAGACATTCAGGTGAGTCAAGTCATTCCTTTAAAGAACGACTGGCTGCACTTGGCAAGTTGAGGAACCCAGATGAGTCTGCAGCATGTCCTCCACTTGCAGAGAAGAAAGAAATCCAGTCTGCTGCAAGCATACCAACAAGAACCACAGATAAAAGCAAAACTGCTGACAGAAACTCTGATTGCAAGTCAGGGGAGTATAGACTTCCTAAAAACACAGATTCAATTGAGGACAAATCATACCATTCAGGTCATTATGATGGTGCTGTTTCAAAACAACCGGGAGCCTTCCAGCATGTTGAGCAAACTGTCAGGTCTCTTCCGTCCAACACGTTAATCTCCAAACTTGAACACGAATCCCCTAGAACATTCATAGCCAAGCAAGAGAGCCCGAAATCTAAGATGCACCAACCGTCTGCTAACCTAGAAGCAGCACAGGCTTTGCGTAGCTATGCTAAGAGTACAACTCCCCATAGCCTTTCATATAACGGAAAAAATGTTGCTAGTCCCCATAGTAGCAGCCCCAATAAAATCCCTCTCAAGTCACCAACTAAAACTGTGCCACCCTCTATGAACCGAGAAGGGAAACCTACTCCAGAGTTTCAAAGGTACATGTCCAAATCTGAAGACAGGAGCCATCTCAGGGCCAATAAAAAGAAGAATTCTTCCTATGGAGAGAGTCTTCCTCCGCCGCCACCAAGGCCGGTAGAGGCCGTTGAAGAAAAGAGGCACTCGGCCCCCAGTCCTCAGTCTTCTATTGAGCAAAAGGTCATGAAGGGCATTGAGGAAAATGTGCTGAAGCTGCAAGAGCAAGACAAAGGTCAGGTGGTCGAGGTCAAGCAAAAGGCTTCCAATGGAATCGCCAACTGGTTTGGTCTCAGAAAAAGCAAGCTTCCAGCTCTTAGCCGTAAACCAGAAACCTCGAAAGTGAAAGATGACAAGAGAGAATGGAAACTCAATATATCCAAGGATTCCAAGGGGGCTGCGAAGAAACCTGAGAGTGAGAGCCTAAACATTTCAATGCTGATTGAGAAGGCAGAGGGCTTGCATAAAGCTCTTGAAGAAGAACGGGCTTATGTGAATGGAGTGGCGTTGGACCGTCAAGGAAAGGGACATTCATGTGAGGTAGTGATGGACCAAGCCCAAGGTCAGCTGTCTGTGATGTATAGAGGAGTGCCATCTGACAACTTCATGCAGCAACTTCTGAACCGGTCAGTACAAAACAACTTAGTGTCTTGTTGTTTTGACATTTAAAGATGGCCAATAACTTTTTTATTTTTTTTGCATTAGTCAGAAAAGCAACCCACAAATTAAAGGCCAAATTAGTTCATTCATAGTTGTAGTTCAGGTTTGTAAGTGATGAAAGGTATTTGAAATAACTTCTGAGTGAGTAAGGTGAGAAAATATGCTTCGAGACATAATTTGTATATGATTTGTAAGTCATCTGTTTGAGTTACTGGGAATTTGCGTCATTGTAAAGGCTGGGCTTTTTGGATTGGCTTAATAAATTTAAATGCATGAATTTGATTACAACCAAAATGTAAAATTTACTTTTATTTAAAAGTTTCTTTTTAAATTTTTTAATTTTTTTTTTTTTTACCAAACAACAACTAAGGGTGTATTGACATTCATTTTTTTTTTACTTTTTCCACAAGGGTTGATGGGAAGGATACTAGTGGCATCAGTATGGCACATAGACGTCTCTCATTTGACTGTAAATCCAGACCTGTTTTTAGTCACCAGAGTGCTGCCATTGCTAGTCAGACACGAAGCAGTGATGACATGGAAAAGGTAAGTTCAATTCTTTATTGTAGTACGTGTTGTTTTTGCACTTGGCAATACTTTTAATGTTACCTCGGCTATTTTTTTCACAGGTCTCTGCATTACTAAGTAAAGACGTCACGTCGGACGACAACCTGGCTGAGACAATTCATCATGAACACTTTGCAGGTCAGGCACTAGTACAATGCATGACATCATGGCTTTCAGTGTTCCCAGAGGCAGGAATTTTGACCGATTAGCATGTAGCAGCAAAAACGGGTTTTAACCTGTCATTGATGATGAGTAATCTAGGTGCGTCTGAATTTTCTCTGGCTTCCATATGCAAGTAATCCGGTAACATCTGTGTAGCACACATTTTATTGCTTATATACTTAGAGTGTGATGGTTTGTTACCTGGTTACATTGCCTTATAAATAAACATTTTTAATACATTTTTAGTTATATATTTTATATATAAATGCAGTTATATAATAATCAGAGGTGGAAAGAGTAATAAAATATGCTACTCAAGTAAAAGTGCTGTTACTTCCAAAAAATTCCAGTAAAAAATCACTCATTAAAAATGTACTCATGAGTAAAGAGTAACTACATTGTCCGTAGTGTATGTGTGTGAATGAGTGTGTATGGATGTTTCCCAGAGATGGGTTGCAGTTGGAAGGGCATCCGCTGCGTAAAACATATGCTGGATAAGTTGGCGGTTTATTCCTCTGTGGCGACCCCAGATTGATAAAGGGACTAAGTTGAAAATGAATGAATGAATGAAAAATTAAAGACCAATAACAAAAAATAAATAATTATTTTAAATATTTTACAGATTATCCTATGTAACAATTTAAACAAATTCACTAGTTCTAATGCAACATTTGCTATGTTACCTAAATTGTGCACAAAAAACGTTGCTCCAAGTCTCTATTAATATCTAATCCTGGTGCAAACAAACCATAGCAATGTTACGAACACAGTTGGGCAAGTTACTTCCAAATTGTAATACATTATATTTTCCTAGTTACTGTCTTTTTTTTTACAATATTAATAATATTACAATATTAATCTCTCAAAAATGTGTTACACTCCTTTTGTATTACTTTTAGGTTACTTTAACCAAAATTACCACAGAAGTATGACTATTTTCAGCCAGTGCTTCACACAGAGATCTGATCATTTCACATCTTTTGTTTAAACTGTATGTAATAATCAATATTGTTTGTTAATTGCAATCATATTCACATACATATATATACTTGTGTGTGTGTTTGCAATTGATACATTGCAAACTATAAATAATGATAATAAAAGTGAAATTTCCCTTTTATTTATTTAATATATTTATATTTTGCTTTTGCTTTTAATGCGGATACATCAATTATTTGTTATTTACATTTGAATAATTTTTTGTTGTATATTATTTTATGTTTTATTACAATTAATAGTTATCAATAAATATATATTATTATAGTATATCTAATAGTCAAATTCCTCCTTTAGTTACAGAGATTTATTTTTTGTCTGTATTAAATGTTTATTTTTTTATCATTTATATTATTAAGATTGACATTACTACTAAGATAAAATATACAGTTGAAGTCAGAATTATTAGCCCCCTGTTTATTTTTTCCCCTAATTTCTATTTAACGGAGAGAAGATTCATTCATTAGTTTTCTTGTCGGCTTAGTCCCTTTATTAATCCGGGGTAGCCACAGCGGAATGAACCGCCAACTTATCCAGCAAGTTTTTAAACAGCGGATGCCCTTCCAGCCGCAACCCATCTCTGGGAAACATCCACACACACATTCACACTCACACACTCATGCACTACGGACAATTTAGCCTACCCAATTCACCTGTACCACATGTCTTTGGACTGGGGGGGGGAAACCGGAGCACCCAGAGGAAACCCACGCGAAAGCGGGGAGAACATGCAAACTCCACATAGAAACGCCAACTGAGCCGAGGTTCGAACCAGCAACGTTCTTGCTGTTAGGCGACAGCACTACCTACTGCGCCAATATATTTCTAAACAATAGTTTTAATATCATTAAGGCCAAATGTAATGATAACATTTCTAATAACTGATTTATCTTTGCCATGATGACAGTAAATAATATTTGACTAGATATTTTTTCAAGACACTTCTATACAGTTTAAAGTGACCTTTAAAGACTTAACCAGGCAGGTAACTAGGCAGGTTAAGGGTAATTAGGCAAGTTATTGTATAACGATGGTTTGTTCTGTAGACTATCGAAAAAAAAATTAGCTTAAAGGGGCTGATAATTTTGTCTTAATAATTAAGACAAGTTATTAATTATTTATTAATTATTTTTCTTTTTTAAATATTTCTCAAATGATGTTTAACAGAGCAAGGAAATTTTCACAGTATGTCTGATAATATTTTTCCTTCTGGAGAAAGTCTTATTTGGTTTATTTCAGCTAGAATAAAAGCAGGTTTCAGTTATTTAAAAAAAACATTTTAAAGTCAAAATTATTAGCCCCTTTAAGCTATGTTTTTTTTTTTAACGATAGTCTACAGAACAAACCATCATTATACAATAACTTGCCTAATTACCCTAACCTGCCTAGTTAACCTAGTTAAGCCTGTCACTTTAAATGTCACTTTAAGCTGTATAGTGTAAGTGTCTTGAAAAATATCTAGTAAAATATTATTTACTGTCATCATGGCAAAGATAAAATATATCAGTTAATTGAAATAAATGTGTTAAAGAAATCTTTTCTCCGTTAAACAGAAATTGGGGAAAAAATAAACAGGGGGGCTAATAATTCAGGGGGTGTAATAGTTCTGACTTCAACTGTATATATGTGTACAGTATATATATTTCACCTACAGATTTATTTACTTAAAACAAAATAATACTTTAATGTAATTCATATTATTATTTGTGTGCACAGTAATCATCATATATAAATAATCTTCATATATTATAAATTAAATCAATGTATAAAAATGGATATAATATTGAAGCTCCTCTCTTTCAGGATCTGGAATCTCCACACACACTCTTGACAGCGGCATCGGCACCTTCCCTCTTCCAGACTACAGTGCAAACGCTGGTTGTAAAAGCATCCCAAAAGGAAAGGCCCACGGGGAGAGTGACCCTTCTCATCTCCAGCCCAAACACGCATCAGGGATGAAGATGTCCCACAAAGCCTGGAGCCTGGAGAGAGAGTTGTCATCATTAGAGGAGGATTATATGGGCGGTCAGGACATGGACCACCACACCAGCACTATAGAAAACAAGATTCCCTCCAGCCAGATTGCAAACATAGTTCATGATGGTATTTATCAGTTATCGGAGAAAAAAATTAAATCTACACAGAGTTTCTAGTGCCTCCATTTCTCAAGTTGTTTTTTTTCAGGCACTGATATCTGTGGAGCCCCTATGAAATTAGGCCCCACAAAGAACTGGACTTTCCCAAACCTCAAAGCATCTGCGGAGTCAACTGAGGTTTATCTGGGTGTTGGAGACGCAGTGGAGCCGGTGACTCACAAGAGTTCATTTAAGAGGGTGAGCGTCACTTTATAGCATGAAAGAACAACCACAACAACGTAATTCACTTATCTGCTTTATTCAAAATGTTTGAAATTGTCTGCGCCAAGAGCCTAGAGGTTAAGTGCGTCAATACAAAGCACTGTGGTGCTCACAGCGACCTGAGAATGATTCCTGGCTCCAGGTCCTTCGACGATCTGTCTCCTCTCTCTCTGCTCCCCACACATTCGTGTCTTCACTCCACTGCATACCTGTCAACATTGGGATGATAAAATATGGGATTACAGTGAAACACAAATTAGTTGTACTAAAAATAGAACACGCCAAGATGGACATGTTTACATATTACAAATTATTACGTATTACATACAATTGTATTTGTCTGTTTAAAGACACACCCAAATGCCAAAGTGTCCACTTTCACTCCTCTTCAAATCACATATAATTCATGAAATTCATGAATTCATGAGGTTAAATTGGATCGATGCAGAGCTTTAATAGAAAAGAATTGAATGTGGCTGTTTTTTATATCAATTTCAACGGACTTTCAAGCCAAAATAAAGCGAAAACATTCGTTTGGGTAGCTCTTGTAATTGAATCACATTTTGGATCGACTCTGTGTGGATTCTACTTGAAAAATATGTAAGAAATATAGGGAAATACTTAAACGGTATGATAGTGGTATATAAGAGTAAAATATGGGAAAACCCTGGCAAAAACAGGAGGGTTTAGAGGTATGATCCACTGTCCTGGCTGTTAAAGGTGACAATTTTTTTTTTTTTTTTTTTTGAAAGTTTGGGGTCGGTTATTTCTTTTAAAATGTTGAAATTTCTCCTATTCTCACTAAAGCTCTGTGTATTTGATCAGAATTATAATAAAAACAGTATTATTCTGAATTATTATTATAATTTAAAACAACTTTCTTGTGAAAGTGACATGTATTCCTGTAATTTTTAAAAGCTGAATTTTCAGTAGGCTTCAGTATCACATAGTTATTCAGAAATCAATGTTTAGATGAATGTGATGGAATAAAAATGGACTTTTCATTTGCTTACACAAAGACAATTGTTTTAATTTTGTATAGTGTGAAAACATTAATATTATTATTATTTTTTTACTTATTTTTATTAGAGAATTGCATGGAGTACAATGCTCTCACACAAACACACACACACACACACACACACACACACACACACACACACACATATATAAAATATTTTAGATGAAATCTGAGAGCTCTCTGACCCTTAATAGACAGCAAGGGTCAGGAGATGTTTAAAGTCCAGAAAAGGAAACAAAAACATTCAACGTGACATTCAGTGGTTCAACTGTTACTGTGCAAAGCTCGAACAACACATTTGTGTGCAAACAAAAACTCTAAAAACATCGTCGCCTATGTCTTCTCTTCAGCCACGTCAGGTCATGGTTCACATTTCCTGTGATGCTTGTGTGCTGTGCTTCTAAATCTGATGGCAATATGTTTTATCATATTTGTAACTCAAGAAATATGCTTAAAAAAAGCTTTTTAGGATCACTTCAAATATAGGACCTTGCAGTGACCTCAGAATTTCAGAAAATGATCTCTAATTTACTGCATTATGGCATACATTTCAGTGTTACTCATAGCATATTTTTATATTCGTAGCGCAACAAGACTAGTGATTCAGTGGCCAGTCGTGAGGGAGATCCAAGAAGTCTTCCTCAGCCCAGTCAGACACGCAGAGTCAAGAGCCGCATTCCTGGAAACCCTGAGCTGGTGCGGGACACTGGTCTGGAGCTGGTAAGAGAGCGACCCGACGACGGCCTGTCCCCAAACCACCCGCAGGTCCTAGAGACGCCCGAGTCTCTGAGCGATTCCCTCTACGACAGCCTGTCCTCGTGTGGCAGTCAAGGCTGAGCGAATGATAACCAGGTACCATCCCTTTTTTTCTAACCCCCACCCCTGGATTCTTGTGACGCTTCAGATATTTTCCGAAGGTGGACGCTTACAGGATAACCCATTTTTTTTGACCGTGAAACCCCCCTGCTTACACAAAATACCCACGTTTCTATCCTGATGGTCGGAAGAAGGACTTCTTTTTTTTTTTTTTGTTCCAGTGTGTTTGTGGTGGTGTCATTTAAGCCCATTATACTGACTTTTCATCATCTCATTCGTGCTCTCTGTTTCAAGTGGTAGCAAAAGTAGTGATGTTCCGCTCATGTTGTCGTTCGGTTACATTTTCGAGAACGAAATCCAAGCTCAGTCTTCCAGTTTTTAATCTCACAGAATGTTCTGGTTCTCATCAGTGCACACATCTTTGGTAACATTTGTGTAAAGTTATTGGAAAGTGAATGTTAATATATGTGATTTTTTTTATTTTTATTATTGTTAATTTAATATGCATATTTCATGAAAAAAAAAAAAAACGCATTTGTGTAAAATTCGCATCAGCCGTAGATTTTGATTCATTGTGATTAAAAGAAGAAAAAAGCGAGTAGCAGCAACACACAGTAAGTGCGATCCATATAAGACAGAGCTACAGTGTTCCATGGTGAATTCTATTTATTTATTTTCTTTGAATAGTGTGGTAAGACAAGACCACCCTTTATTGGTTACTCCTATTCAAACGTACTGTGCCTGATATCTCTTTTGTTTGTTTGTTTTACTGTTTGTGTACTTGTCTTGATGTGTGTTTATAGGTTAGTTTGTTCTCCAGATCTGCCCGTGACGTTTTGTTTGTTACATTTTGATTTTAGGGTGTGTTCACACTTAATTTGAACAAATGTAAGTTTATTTGAACAAGTCTGAACGCTGCCTGCTGAACCTTGGAGCACACCAAATGAGCTGACTCTGCTCCGCTTTGACTGAAATGTGAATGCAACACCAACCAAAGACATCTAAACAAACCAAAAACAGAACATGATGTCACACAGAAAGGACAGACTGCTCAATAAGGATAATTTTTTACACCATAGTCACACAATGTTGGCTGTTAGTATATAAGACTGTTTCCGCCACAAACATAAAATGACAAAAAAAGTAATTTGTCTGACTTTTTTTCTGAGAATTGCATTTCGATTTTACATTTGCTAGTTAAGACGGCTGCACGATTTGGAGAAAAAAGTCAAATTGCGATTTATCTGATCAAAATTTCGATTTGCGATTTAAAATGTGATTTACAACCATTACATAAAAGAGCTACAGGTTTTAAAACCGCTTAAACATTGTTGTCATTTTTGTCAAATAAAGTTGTTAGGTCAGTTTTTATGACTAATTGAGAATGAAACTATTATTTTAAACTTTTACATTTAGATTGTGTTACATTTTTTACATTGATTGAGATAATGTGCTTACGAACTTTCAGAACTTTCAAAAACAATATGCTTTACAATATTTAATTAAATGAATATCGCAGATTTTATGTTTTGATTTTGCGATTTCGGTTTAAAAAGGATTAATCATGCTGGCCTACTGCAAGATATATATTTTTAAGGCATTGAGTTATGAAATAAATATTGAGAATTGGCTACATTTCTGATCTCTTTCCTCATAACTATAATTTCTAAACTCATAATTGCGAATTATTGAAATCTATGCACTAGGACTCGGAACTTGGGATGCTCGAAACGCAGTGGCAATATATATTGGCTCACTGCCCACAAGGCTATCGGCAGTGTTGGGGAACGTTACTTTAGACAGTAATGCATTACAATATTGAGTTACTTCCCAAAAAAGCAACTAGTTGGATTACTTAGTTACTTTTTATGGTGAGTAATGCGTTTTGTTACTTTTGAGTTACTTTTGCATTTTTCAGACCTGGCTGAGGCTTGATCTCCTTCAAAACTTGAAGGTTTTTTTCTGCTTTTTTTTTTTTTTTAAAGAGGAGCTCTGCAATTCACAACGCACTGTATAATCTTCATTTACCTTTAAAAAGCTAATTAAAAAAATGAATGTAGGATAATGTTATCTTTGGAGAACTTCCTGACCCTATACAAGCCATATTTACAGAATAACGAATAAAACTTAAGCAATGCATTTGCTACTTTTCTACTTTTTGTCTTATAAAAAGATAAAATCACTGCCATTCAGATAATCCTCTTTTCCTTTTCTTCCATGTGTTCAAAATAATGAGACTATTTCCTAATTTCCTATTTCCTGACTACATTCACTTTAATTCAGCAATTTATTTTTTAAAAAGCGAATTAACTAACTTAAAAAGTAACTCGCATTACATTTTATAAAGTAACTCAAATTTCATTATTTAGTTTTTAAAAGTAATGCCTTACTTTACTCGTTACTTAGAAAAGTAGTATTATCACCTAACCCAAGTTACTAGTAATGCGTTCCCCCAACACGAGCTATCAGCGCAGACATAAAGTCCATTTCTAAGGGAATTAAAAAAAGACAAATACAAGTCTGTTTCTTACTATTCTGACTTACAACACAATTGTGAGAAAAAAGTGACGATTATCTGTTTTATGCAGTGGCGGAAACAAGATTCCTCACATCATAGTTTAATCCAGGCATCGTAATCATGTCTCCATTGCTCAGATCTACATTTCTGTGTTCAGTTGAGGAATTCCTGCCCCTCTTTTCACTCCTTTAAACCTTTATAAGCTACTTTGAGTTCTCAACTGATCAAAATGGCATCATCTGTATGTTTATCCCAACACACAACATTGTTTGGATGTCTGATGAGTACTTTCACCAAAAAAAAAAGTCATTGAAGCCGTTGTTTTGGTTTTGTTTCTTACGGTTCAGTCTTAAAAATGACAGTATATATTTAATGTTTTTTGGTCCGGACCAAAGTGTGAACGCACCCTTAAAGAAACTTGAGCTCATGACCTGATTCTGAACTGTTTTGTTGGGTCACTCAGCGAAATTTAACAAAGCTTGTCTCTGGTTGACCAGACATGAAAGAAAAACCAACCAATTCGGAAAAAGGTGGCTGATGATTTCTGTCGACATAACGCTGACTCTGCCTTACGCATCTTTCCACAGCTGTTAGAAATGAACCTTCAGCCGGCCGGCTTTCATGTTGGGAACTCAGCATTTCTTTGGGAAATGGTTGTGATTTTATTCATTTTTCCCCCCACAAATCCATTGGATTTCTTCAGGCTAAAGCATTTTGGCACGATTCAAGTCAAGGTGCGTTGCATGCGTTTGACGATGCTAATCCTGCAAAATGGATTACAGGCAAAAATAAATCAATAACTAAACTTTCCATTTTTCAAGTGGTTGCTCAAAAAGCCATAGATTAGTAGTACAGTCTGAATCCTTTCTAATCTGTGCTGACCTCAATAGCTGTTTTTATGAAACCACCACAACAAAAGACTTAATTAGAAACATTCCCTGACATATATGCTTATAAATACACACACACACACACACACACACACACACACACACACACACTTTGTCATCCAACAGCCTGTGCAAGATTTTTTGTAGAGGTAAATGAATTTTATAGTCAATCTTATACGCATGTCACTCTCTTGATTTGTCACAAAATTATTTTTATTTTTACATGTTTTTTTGTTTTTTTATAAGTAGTTTGTGTTCTTATCGTAGTTCCCTGATTTGCCTGCCGTTATAACCTTTGTTATTTACTTTGTTGTAATTGTCAGGAATATTTCATATTAGTTTGGTATGTTTACAAAAGAATTTATGATGAAGTTGTTAATATATCTGTAAAATGTTTATATAAGGTGCTATCTGATTTTTGTTTTCACTCTGTCCTGCAAAAGCCATAAATGTGTTTTCATAATCTCCTTTCTAAGCAATCGCCATCACTCATGCAACTCAATAAAAAACCTTTTTAAGTATGCTTTGTGTGTAAGCTTTCGTTTTTGTGAAGGGATATTTATTGGAAATAAAGAGTTTTGTGATGTATAAGGGTCAAAGATGACACATTTTGGTGTTTACAGCTGTCTACTGTTTCAAATACACGGCTTAAAAATCAGGTAACACTTTAAAACAGGGGTCATCAATCTCGATCCTGGAGGGCCGGTGTCCCTGCATTGTTTAGCTCCAACTTGCCTCAACACACCTGCCTGGGTGTTTCAAGTATACCTAGTAAGACCTTGATTAGCTTGTTCAGGTGTGTTTGATTAGGGTTGGAGCTAAAATCTGCAGGACACCGGCCCTCCAGGAACAAGTTTGGTGACCCCTGCTTTGGAATAATGCTCCATTAATTAATAATTATAGATATTTACATTAGATGTTGCCTACAATATTGGTGTCTATTGGAAGGAATGGGTCAATAGAGCCGCCATTTTAGGACAGGGTAGTGCTCATTTTGAAAATGAACGTGGGGCCTAGGTGCAGTGGAGGACTGGCCAGCCAGAGATATATACACATGTATACATATATCTATGATCAGGAGTTTCCCAGTGGTCAGTATGCAAATATTTATTTAAATAACAAAAATTATAATTTTACATCACTTTTCTACAGTGATGGATAAGTGAGCGCATTGGTATTGCCGACAATTAAAGAGCACGTGTTTATGTGCATGGAAATGTATTATCCTCCCTCCCTGTTAAATTTGATCTAATATGAAGATGAGACAAAAAAAAATAAATGAATAAATAAATTGATCAAATATGGTTTCTGAAACACAACCCTCTCCTGCTTTTACTTCTCATTCTAATGGAGGGAGCGATTCATTTGTGAATGAATCTCCGTTATGAACGACTCGTTCCTAAAAGTTTCTGGCACCGCAGTGTCTTGTCATATTTAATTTATATTGTTTGCTGATTTTGTTCCACAAAACTAGGTTAAGTCTAGTATTTAGTGCCAGTTGGTGCTTCTTTGCCTTTTGGTCAGTGCATTAAGAGACTGTTATCATCAATAACCTTACTTGTTTACCACAAAAGTTTGAAACGTATAAAAACATAAAAACCGAAATCTTACCTATGAAGTGTTCTGCCTTTATGTTTTGTTTTCTTTGTTTGCTCGTTACTACACCCATACACAGCATCTTCACATTGGATTTAGTCTTGACTAGTGCGGTTGAATGGCATTTGTCATAGGAGCACTGTACAAATGTGGCGGCACTGTTGACACATGCTCAGGGCCTGTATGTGATATTTACAGTATACATCTATGGTTAATGGGATGTATTTACTAACATAAGCAAACAATACACTTATTACAGTATTATTATTTCTTTGTTAATGGTAGTTAATGTAAATAAAGTTGCTCAATGTTAGTATATGTAACTGTGATTAAAAATACTGTGCTGTATTGATTATACTTGATGTGTTAACTAACATTAACTAATGGATCATTTTTTTAAGTCCTAATTCAAAAATATGTGAAATGATTTTCCACCATCATTCAGTATAACAGATATTCTTATGTAAAAAATGATCAACGTTTTCGGACTAGTACTTATTAAGATATTTAAAGGACTAAACTAACCAAAATGTGTCATTTTAAATGATTTATTAAATGTCAAATGGGTAAAATCTAGCTGTTTGAAGGATAGTAGCAAAGTATAAAGATTTATCTTGACATTTACCTACAGTAATATTTTTGGGCTGAATTGTGATCTTTTAATGAGAGAGGGAGAGCTACTTAATGTTTTGATGCTTGTAAACCTTTTTTATATGTTGACCCATATTTATAATGACAGAATACGTCTTTATTTACTAAGATTGATTCTGGTGCCCCCAGTGGCCAAAAGAAGGATGTCCAAGCTACTTGTTTAATGATTAAAACGATTGTGAATAAAAAATATTACATTATTTCAGGATTGTTTGAGGGCAAAGCATAGTAATGTTTGCTTTTTAGGGTTTCATCGTTCAAAATTGGTTACATGGAATTATTTGAATGCCTTTTACATGCTGTTTGAATAATTCCTGCAGCTGTTTATTAAAGGGATAATTCACCCAACAATGATCATTCTGCCATAATTTACTCAACCTTCCCTTGTTCAAAACTTATTCGAGTTTCTTCACAAATATTTTTATTTTTTAATGTTCGTTGCTTGGACCCATTCACTTCCATAGTAATTAAGAGACTCACTTCCATAGTCAATCGCAAAAATCCTTAAAATGCTCCCTTTTTACCTTTATTCATTTATTTGTTTCTGTTTTTTTTCCTTATATGACTCTGTCTTCTTTTCTATGTTTAATCTTAATGCAATCTCTACATCTTTATGTATTTGTTTTCCTAAAATGAATGTACAACTATACAAATAATAAACCGTTGTAAAACTAAATCTGGACTGCTTCATTATTAGGGTGTAGGGGCCACATTTACACAGATATAACTGTTAATATTCCATTAGGTAGATACATATATATTACATTTATAGGTATAATTATACTTCTAGGTATTAACTTTGGGGCCCCCAGATTTCGCTTGCCTTGCTTGTTGGATAAATCCACACGTGCCCGCATCCAGCATTTTTTAAAAGTGTTTTCTTTTGTGTTCAACAGAAGAAACTCCTAAAGGTTTAAAACCACATGAGCAAGAATAAATAAGTTTTTTGTTTTTTTTTTTGAGTGAATTATCCCTATAAGAATAATAGCTTATAATAGCTCAAGACATGACACAAAGAGGAACATGCATGATGTTGAGACAAATTTAGTCATCAACACAAAAGTCAAAAATATGATAACACAGGCCTTGTTCAGGGCACATTTTAGAACCGAAAGGCGACTTTACAAAAATCATGGCCATCTTTTGAATGTTTTTGCTACAGTTGAAACTCATAAAATAAACATGATGGTGATTAAATAATACAAGATGGAGAATCTGAATTTACAGTATAGGTGTTATTTTTTCATCTAGGCATGTATTTTGGAGGCACCAGATTTTCTCTTACCTTGCTTATTAAACAAATACACCTCTGTCATCACCAAACATTCTTCAAAATGTCTTCTTTTGTTTATAACCACATGAGCAAGAATACATGAGGTAGTTTTATATTTTTAAGTGAACTATACCTTTAAAAATAATAGCTAAAGAGACGATACAAAGAGGAGAAATGCATGTTGCACAGAGAAAAATTTATTGTCATCAATACAAAAGTCAAAAATATGATAACACAGGCCTTATCAGGGCACATTTTAGAACAGAAAGGCAACACTTTGTTGTGTCTATAAAAATCATGGCCATTTTTAAAATGCTTGTGCTACAGTAAAAACAACTCATAATAAAAACATGATGGTCTTTAAATAATACACGATGGAGAATCTGATCTGCATCAGAGATGGACATTTCAAGTTCAATTCAAGTTCGACCAAATATACAAATAAGATGAGAAAACACACAAGTAAATTGTCTGCAGAAATACAGCAGAGAGACTGAACTAGATAAATCTCTTTGGTTCATTCCGTGGTGTTAATTCTGCTTCCCATCAAGTACACTTGAAGCAGAGATAAGGCCACTTTAAGATGAATACAGGAAGTGTCAAGGTATGTATGTAGTCATAATTCACATATAACAGTGTTTTTAAAAAACGATAGTCACCTCAGTGACCGTAGAAAAGTAAACAAGGCCTTGCTTAAATGAATAAGACTCAAGGATGAACGGGTGCTTGGTGTCACATTTGCATTTATGGAAAAAAAAAAATGCATAGCATGACGTGTGATCCAGTTCTCATTTTCTCTGGCCTTTGCTAGAATTGGGAATACACTAAGAAGATGATTATAAATGCTGATAAAAGTGAGGTTGAGTTCAGGTAGATCTTGCATAGAGAGAGCGAGAGACTGGCCTCAAGTCAGTTGTGCGGAGCTGAGTAACAAAATACAGCGGCTTCAGCTTCACTGTTGCGCATTCTGGACTTGATTAGACCCTGTCAAGTGTTTTAATCTCCCAACACATGTCCTTATAAACTTAAAAAATGAATAGAAAAGTAAAAAAGGAATATAAAAATCGTAAATCGTTATTGCAAAAGGCAAGCTCTGGCCTCTGTTTCTTTTTTTCCTCTTGGCTTACCGTTTGCGTTGCTGTTTGAGTCTGATTGGCAGTCAGTGCTACTCAACATGGAGGTTTAGCGTATGGATTATGGAGCCCTGAGTTGTTGGAGTCTGCTGTAGACGTCTTCAGCTTGGCTTAACTCTTCAAATACTGGGATGAGGTGAAGCAGCTCGGTGTCCTCCGAATCGTCAAACCACGACAGTACTGGAACCTGCCGGACAAACACTGGTTATTATAAGCCACCGCTTTAATGGCTAATCATTGTGAGATTATGTAAATCTGCAGGGTTTATGTGTTTTAAAAGCAGGAGGATCATTATATTAGTGCATTTGGTCAATTAAACTGGTGTGTTTAAGATGGAAGTGCAGCAAAATGGTTACATATACAGTGGGAGTGCAAGGTCTGAAATCACTGAAAATGTGGGATTCAAAATTTTAGTTTTTATATATTTAAAAAAAATTGCAATTTGTTTAATAGAGATTTGAACACATTTTTTAAACAAAATAGTTTTAATAACTCTTTCTCATTCTCTTTGTCATGATGCCACTACATAATGTTTGTAGTTATTTTGTTAAATGCCTGTATTCATCTTCAAGTTCAATTAAAAGGCATAACTAGGCTAATAGGGTAAGTCATTGGACAAGTGGTTTATTCTGTAGCCAATAAAACATTATTCTAAATCTAATAAGGGATGAATAATATTGACCTTAACAATTTTTTATTGTAAATATATTTTTCCATTCAGCCAAAATAAAGAGGGTTTTCTCCATTTTAATACTGAAACAAATGTTATTGCTCAGTTAAACTGCACATATGAATTATAAAAAAAAAATGAATATTTCATAGGAGGGTTCATATGTTTGTTTTCACTTTAGATACACATGAATAAAACAAAACTGCTTCTGTTACATGCACTGTAAAAATAGTTGCTGCCCTAAAGTATTTTAGTTGAATCAAATGAACTTTTCTCTAAACTCTAAACATAAATCAAACTGACTTAACAGAATAAGTTACACTTTGTATAACGTAAAAATGCAGATGGAACCTGATTAACTTATTAAAATTAAGTTTAATATAAGTATAACATTTAATATTTAGAATAATAATAATACCTTCTTTTAATACCTGCTTAGCTTCAGTGGGCAACAATGTAAGACTTGCAGAGAGCTAGCTGATTTGTTGTCATGACTTTTGGTCATGTCATTGTTTTTAGAGTGTACATAATGCATATACATAATAATATGCATGTACACCAATGTCTCAACTACTTTGATTAAAAATGATCTCATGATTGTAAAAATACTGTTCATTTAAGTAGTTTTCTTCTCTTGATGATGATGATGATGATTTACCATTTTAGTAGGCATTACAAAATCTAAAGTCTTAAGAATAAAATTCTATTGAGCATTGATTAATCGCATCCAAAATAAAGGTTTGTTTTTACAAAATATCTGTGTGTGAGATGTATGTTTATCATGTATATAAATACACACATTAACATGAAAACAAAACAAAAATATCAACATGGAAACCTAAATGTAAATATAATCTGTTATATGCATATATATTTGATCTAAATATACTTTTTTCAAATATATGCAGGCATGTGTGTAATTATATATACATAATAAATATATACCTCATCCCACCCCCCAAACACATACATACATATATGAATACAAACTTTTATTTTAGACGCGACTAATCATTGCCAAGCACAACGCTTTTTTAAACAAAAATTGATAACACTTTAGTTTAGGTCACAATCCATGCTATTTACTACTGGCTTATTGCCTGCCTGTTATTAAGTTATTAACTGTTCATTAGTAGTTATAAAGTATAATCTTATTTTACATCCCTAATTCTACCCAAAACCTAAACCCAAGTTCTACCTTACTAACTATTAATATGCAGCTAATTAGTAGTTCATTAAGCTAGTAGTGTTGGCTATTGGTCTGTTAATAACAAAACTAAAGTGATACCTAAAAATCTTTCAAGAAAATGTATTACTATGGTTTACGATCTATTAATGAATCCCTGCTAAATAATATTATGAATTACTCAACAAAAAAAAACAAAAAAAATCAATTAATCAATAAAAATAACATTTAGGTAGCAGATGGACCCCACTGTATATGTATGTCAAACACATAAGGGTGAATCTACAGGGCAGATAAATAGCAGGAGAGCGAGGGCGACCCACAGCGTTCTCAGGGTGGAAGATGTAGGAGGCAGGAGAGTTGTCCAGGATCAGGGTTTTGTGGAGCTCACGGCCAAGGCGACTCAGGTCTTTCACATAACAGCCTTGATAGAAGACACAAGATTCACGGAAGAGGCGCGTCCGAAACACACCGCACTGATCCAGCAGGTCTGTCACAGGGTCTGCATACTAGCACAGCCGTGGGTTACTACACAACTCTAGAATGCTAGCCAACAAGCATCTAATGAGGGCTTTCTACTCTTATTTTCTACAGGAATGTTATGTTTCCATACCTTAGCAAGGCTAGCAGTGAACAGAACACATTCAAACAGTTCCCCCATCCGCTGGAGAAACTCATCCACGTACGGCCTCTTCAACACATACACCTAAAACACACATGTGCTTGTTGATGTTACTATTCAGATGAAATACACCATTTAGAGCTGCATGATTCTGGATAAACTGACAATTGCATTTTTCTTCCTACATAGAAAAGTATATATATATATATATCAGGGTTCAATGCTAAGGATTTTTTCGACTGGTCCGAGTGGGCCAGTGGTTCAGATTTTTACTTGCCCTACCAAATTTTCACTGGCCCCACCAAAAAAAAAGGGAAGTTAATAGCTATTTTTGCCACATATTTTAAATAATGTGTCAAAAATAAAGTTTATCTAGAATTTCAATACTTAAAAAACATGTTAATAAAAGTGTTTTATAAACAAAAAGAGCAGGGGAAAATGTGGAGGTATTTTATTGTGGTTCGAAATTATTTAACAAAAGGTGGCTGACTTGTCAAACTGATGGCAAACTGTGCAAAACATCACTTTTTTCATTTTATTATCAATTTTTATCACTTTTGTTTGTCGCATTGTTCACGCGTAAATGTCTGCTTCCAAGATGTTAGAAACAGACATTTTCTTTTAGCCTTACAATTTGATCATGCCGCCATGTTGCCGTTTCTTCGCTGTACTGGCTGTTACCAGGTTACGGAAAAAAATTGCATGCTCAAAACATCAAATCAGACAAGAGGAACCAAAAAGCAATATGTTGTTTACGACATCACAGAGAAGGTAGTGTTTAAAGACTAAACTTAAAATGCACGCAATTGACAAATAGTCGCAGACCAATTAAATGTTAGTGTTAAGGCAGCTCTGTCCCAATCGGGCCAGTAATTATCCTGTCTACTGTCCCAAGTCTCTCATGCTGGCCCTGGGCCACCGAGCAGTCCTTATTGTTGTGCCCTGTGTGTTTGTGTGTGTGTGTGTGTGTGTGTATGTATATATATATATATATATATATATATGTATATATATATAAACTATGTATGTTCATATATAGCCATACATGAATACACATATAATATTAGAGCTATTATATATATATGAACATACATGTACATACTTGTAATTCCAATGGTTGCAAAATATATTGAAAGCAGCCATTTTTGCAATATTTCAAACTATATGTTGCCTGTATGAAATATTTAATATTAATTATTTAATATATGTGAAATCCAAACATGAACTTGTCATATTATATATGACAATATATAATTTATATATAAAATATATATAAAGTATATATTATATATTTATATGTGAGTTGTTTAATTGATTAAAATAGAGGCATTGATGCTGACAAGACAATTAAACTTATCTAGAGATTTATGACAAATAAAAAAATATATTTAATTTATTTGAATAATTCATAGGGGCAATGCTGTGGCGCAGTAGGTAGTGCTGTCGCCTCACAGTAAGAAGGTCGCTGGCTCGAGCCTCGGCTGGGTCAGTTGGCGTTTCTGTGTGGAGTTTGCATATTCTCCCCACGTTCGCATGGGTTTCCTCTGGGTGCTGTGGGTAGGCTAAATAAACCTCTGGGTGAATTGGGTAGGCTAAATTGTCCGTAGTGTATGAGTGTGTATGGATGTTTCCCAGAGATGGGTTGCAGCTGGAAGGGCATCCGCTGCGTAAATATGTGCTGGATAAGTTGCCGGTTTATTCTGCTGTGGCGACCCCAGATTAATTAAGGGACTAAGCCGAAAAGAAAATGAATGAATAAATGAATGATTTATTTTTAAAAATAAGTTTGACGATATGATTCTACTGAACTGCTTTGTTAACATCAGATGATTCATTACTGATGAATCAGCGCTACTGAACAAACATCTTAAATGATTCAATGGCAAATACATTTTTTTAAAAGTCACTTGTCGCCATCTACTGTTGTGAATACAGAACTGATATAGTCATCATTTGATGCATCTAGAACATTTGTATTTATTTCATTTGGTCCAAATCATAAATGAAAATTATATATTTAATCGTGGTTCACTTTGCATTCGCAGCAGTCATTTTAAAGTCCAAACCTAGATTTATAATTTGTGACTGAAAATACTGTGAACATCTAAAACAATGTTGTGCGTCGGGCTGCATGTGAATATTTTATGTGCCTACAGAAGATGTTTTTTTATCAGCTCAACTCATTAATATAAATGTGTTGAGGAGTCAAAACAGCATCAATTAATCATTAATCAGCCACAGAAATCTGCTGCAAGTAGATGTGTTTTATGCATGTATTGAACTGAAATGTGCAACTATAAAAAAACACTGATATGCTTGAGGATTTCTGTCCATTTTGTTGTCACATTTTGTGGTATCGTGACATTTTAGATGTGTTTTGCATATTTTTAATGAACCACATGTTTTAATTTAGCCTAAGCTTAAAAGTGTGAATAAACACATGTGATTTATTCTATTTTGATAGCTACCATAGAAATTAGTGTTTAATCAAACTAATCAAAATAATAACATGCTGACTTTTTCAGAACGATATATATAAACTGCTCTCTGTGTCAGTGTATCAACACAGCACTGAATGACTTTGTCAAAAGTTTAACATATTTACATGAATCATTTAAACAGGGATAATCTTTGATATGTTCATCTTTTAATCATGCAGCTCTAAAACCATTTAAATTCAGTTGTAAATCAGTTGAGGGTACACATTTAAAGTTTTGTTAATGTCCTGTAGTGCTGTTGCTCGTAGCCTCCTCCTGAAACAAGTAACCAAGAATAGGCCGTACTAGTGGGAACTAACCTATCCTGGATTACTTGAACCAGGCAAAGGCCAAATGCAGATTTCCTGTAAAAAACTGATGAGAATGGCAAAATCTTATGGAATATTTACATGCAATATTTAAATCTCCAGTATTTTAGGGCAAGACACTGAGTAAAAAATAAACTAATATTTATCACTGCACTTCTGCACTTGAAACGCACTTTTTAAAAGTACCTTTCAGAAAACAAAATGTACAATGAAAAAGGGAATTTTGTGGAATAACACTTAAAAAAAATAATTTTGTATGAATATATCCTTTGATAAAAGCCTTAAATATGCCTATATAATTTAAAATAATGTTTTGTTGGTGTTTTTTGTGTTAAGTGAAGATAAATTAATTGAAATGTGACAAAACATTTTGTTTTACGATATAGTTTTGATATTTGTGACCAAAATTGGCACATGCATGAAAAAACATGTTTTGCATCTTGTAACTGACTCATGACGTCACTGCACTGCTGAAGTGTCGTTCTCACATCAGTCCAGCAGATGGCGGTCAACATTCACGTTTGAATATGGAACAACATCCCCGCTCTACCCTCTTTTCACACACTGGCAGAGGATTACTGCTGCTTCTCACATACACAAACATTTGTCAGATCTCACCTGGTGTGTGGTCCCCTCAATCTCCACAGGCACAATGAAATCTGCATTGCTTATTGGCTACAAAAACACAATGTGGATATGATTAAAACATTAGTGAGTTGGCGAACTGTTATTAACGTGCAAATGTTACAGTTATTTTACATGTAAAATGTTATATATGCATCTGTTTTGAACTGATCTCTTATGCAGCATGAAACTCTTTAAAATGCCTGATGTGCATGCTCGTGAGTGGTTACCTTAAAGGAGCTGTGCACCAGTGTTTCATCCAGATCTATGACCACACAGATCTTCCCCTGGTCGTGAGAGGTCACTGCTGGCAGCAGACTCTCGCCTGGTATCTGTAGATAACATGCCATTTTTTTTCCACTATTAAAAACATTTGATAGAGAAACTATTTTTTACACTAAAGTTGCTTGTAAATGTCACCAGCAGTTACAAAGAAACAGTAGCATTTTAAATTAAAGTTTTACTGCACAATATTATATAAATTACCAATGTATACATTATATAAAATATCAATATGCTACATATTAATACTATGTAATTCTATGTATGATTAAATATTATTAGTAATAGACAGAAATAGGTAACAGTGTTGTAATTTACAATGTTGTTTTTTGAGGGAATGACGTAAGCAAGTGATCAATTATTAGTACTTGTCACTGATCTAAAATAAACTGAATACACACACACACACACACACACACACACACACACACACACACACACACACACACACACACACACACATATATATATATATATATATATATATATATATATATATATATATATATATATATATATATATATATATATATATATATATAAATAATTGTACACATCATAATTAATATAAACATTATATATATAATTTTATATCTATTAATCTGTCTTTGTATATTACTTTAATATTGTTAAATATTATTTTTACTCTTATTTAATATTAATGTGCATTATATGTAAAATTGTAATACATTAAATATTTCTGAATATTATTATTTATTAATCAAACAAATAGAATTAAGTGATACAGTGCTAATTAACAGTGACTGTCAACCAATCCTTGCCACTGATTGTTACTAAACTATATATGTGTAATGTATATTTAAATGTATACAAATTTCAAAAATAAAATGCCAATGCAGATTAATGATTACTATCATACTTTGGCAAAGGTCCCATTGTCCTCAGGCTCTAGCAAGGCATCATGGGTAGGTGAAGTTGGCAGCTGGGCATCTTGAGCTCGAAGGCAACAGATGAGCTTTTTGAAGATATTCCGACTCCCAGGTTTCTGAGGCGAACTTTTATTCACCTGATCTGTTAGAAAACAATACAATTGCTTAATTTGCATCTATTAGTCCCGCTGATAATTGCATTGCATAAACAGGGCATAAAAAAGGCTCATGTTGCATGCTTTATCAACAATTCCACTTGAACCTCACTAAACATCACTGTCAAAACCCCACTCAGAGCACATTATTAATTACTAATATATATTGACAATCAACCACTTGAGTTTGGTAAAACAGACATTCACCCATCAGCTTGATACATTAACATCAACTGTATAAAGCTGGATGGATCTTTTAAATAATTTAGAGAACTGCAATAAAATGTATGTTTTTCGCCAGTAAATGTGGCATCTATCAACTTCAAAATGACCAAATGCTCAGCCGCCCCTTTCCAGAGATGGCACACGTTGCACAGAAAACAGAAAATCTGTTTTAAATAAGACTGCTGGCCACGGCTGGTATATGTTATATAATCTCAGAAGGCGGGAAAGCCCACACATTTCAGCTGTACCTTTGGAGCAAAACATACACACACACACACACACACACGCATGCTGCTCCTGCCATTTCATCACAGGAGAGTCTGGCAAAAACGTACAAACGACACAGACAAAACTGGCAGCCACAGAAATAAGAGCTATGTTTTGTAACACTACCACATCTGTAACCAGATTTGTTGTGCATTACAGAGGGGCTCCTTGCATATTTAGGGGGCTTCTACATACTTGTGCTTGCAAATATTTGCATGTAAGTGAAACATGATTTTGTTCAGACATGCCTGTCGAGATTCCCAAGCAGCAAAATTGGACAAAAGCTATTGCAACATGAAAGTACACCATGCAATGATTAGAGTGTTTTTTATTCTTTTGGTGATGTAACTTTACTGCTAGTAATCATCCCTTTTTCCCCCCTCTCTCTCCCTCAGTTTGACCGTAATGATGAGCAGCGGCTGATCCCAGGCACCTTTTCTCCCTTTGGTTCCCTATGGAGGCTTATATAGCCATAGGAATGATCTTATGTAACATACGAGCAGCATGTACAGCAGAGGGAGGATGAGAGAAAATGGCCTCCTTCGTCATCATTTACTCTGTGCTGTATTTGCCCATCTGTACACTCGCTGATAACGCCCTGCTTAACAAAAGGGACTCAGGAAATGGAGTACAAGGAAAATGTATCCATGAATTCAAATGCACTTTCTTGAAAACATTTGTCACATGTAGATAAAGCAATAATTTCCACCTTTGGTGAGTGGAGTGTAAAGAGTGTTTTGTTAGGGACCGTCAAAGGTTCTGCTGGACGCTGTTAAGTGGTCAGGCTTTCTAGCACTCCTGCTCACATTTAACCAAATGAGTTTTTTTTTTTTTTCCACAAAAGAAGTTTAACTGATGAATAAAAGAAAGGCACCAATTCAAAACCCATCTATTTTTCAAAATAATTAAGATCTCCAAGGCGAATTAAATGGCAAGAATGGATTTGAGTTTCAGGGGATGGTGTGTAACTGGAGTCCAAGGAATCTGTTAGGAAAACAAAAACATGTTCTTGATATTTGTAATCAAACTAGTGGGCAGAATGACTGAGAAATGTTTTTTTTTTTTTTGGATGCATCTGATAATGCACCATAAGCATAGTTTTTGTTGATGCAACGACTTAAGATTTCACCTAAAACAAGTTTTATTGACAACACAATAACTATATGGAGCTTATTTTTAAGCAGTCTGATAGCAAAACATTTCCTAAGCACTAAGGATTATCTAAAACTGCACAAAGTAAATTAAAAAACTTTTATTGTACATTAAAGTTACAAAGTGCTTTTTTGAACCAAACTGATAGATCAAACAATATTTGGTCATTCTGAAATGGTTTACCATAATGTATTGCACATTTTCTGTGCAAACAATTTCACAAATTTCATTGTCTAATTTGACATCAAAGTATAATATTTCATCATTATATTACCCAAACATGCATATTGATTTTTCTTTGTTATGTCTCTTCATTTATTACATTTTTAGACCACACATACGCAGGTACTCAGGCAATGACAAGACATAATAATAGGCATGAGACAATAATTGTTTTAAAGGTATATCGCGGTTTAGAAAAGTCAAGGTTTTAAAACCTTCAAATTTTTCTGTTATACCGTTCCTATGGTATATGTAAGACTTTTTCATTTACATTTTTTTTAGGACAACAGTATCTCCATCTGAAAAGAAGTCCAAAGATTGTGTTTTCAATTGTAAGGAAATATGTGTTTTAGAAACTAATGAAGGCAGTATAAGTTAATAGTATTATTTGAATTATCTAGCCTGACATGTTAACTGTTAAAATATTTTGGAATTGTTTCTCAAAATAACATATATTGTGTTCAAAGGGGAAATAAAGTTTTGTTTTTTACCCAAACAATTAAAAAGAATATATTTGAGAGCGTTAATTACAATACCGCCAAACTGTGATACTTTTATCCAAGGTTATCATACCATCAGAATCTTATACCGGCTTAAGCCGCAGTCATAACAGTCATTACAGTTTTTAACATGTTTCCTTGATTAATTTGAACAGCATCAATCCAGCATATTCAGTTAGATTAATTATTTTAATTACATAAAGTTATATAGGCTTTACATAAAAAAACTTTTCAAAGAATACTGCAAACCTTCTCATCTGGTTAAGGATCAATGGTGTGACATGCCCTTGCGCAGTTATGCAAAATACTTTAGAAAATGCAATTCAAACAGCATGAATACATGGCTTCTGCAATGCTGAATGTTTTCAATTTGTGAACTTTTTTTGTATGTCTTAATGAAAAATCTGTGAGTGGTAAAGCTGTCAGAAGAGTGACAAGAATTTTTTTTAAATAAAAAAGTTTTCTATAGGATGTGCCATAAATAATTATGTATAAACATATTTCTTAAAAATAATATTAATTAAAAAAAAAAAACTTAAGTCAGTGTGGCGCAACATGAAGCAGGAAGCCATTTTGTTGTCCTGTCATAAAACACAAGACCCTTTACACCTGATGACTGTAAATCACAGCCATTTAGTTTGCTAAAAATACTAGATATCTTTTAATTTTAAGCACCTTTGATATTTGTAACTAAAAAAATACATCACATTCTCAAATTGGGAAAACAAGAAAATATTGTTAAATACACTCACGTATGTGAGGTGAAAATAAACAATTTGATGCTTTGACTTGGTTACACCATCTGTTTTACTGAATAATAAAAAAAAATGATTTTCACTCATCATAAGACAAATATTCTCTTACACAGTCTACTGTATGATTTGCACATATATTTTAACACATATACACAAATCAAATTGATTGAACAATATTACACATAACTACTGCACCAATTCACATCCTCATTTCTGAGACTGTCACAAATACAAAAAGTCACACATTGCACTGCATGCCAGCAAATATGAAGCGAGTTCAAGGGGTCTTCAAGGAATTTGTGCACACTCGACTTGGCTGTTTTCCCAACATTATGGCTGCTCGTAAGTCACGAATACAGAGATCGTAAACATCTGTAATAATAGCCTAATTGACACCAGTGCTGTAGAGTCACACTAGAAGGACCGGTGTTTACAAGGCGTTTGCGTCAGCTCTATAATAAGCGCGCAGCTCTGCGCATATTTACAACACACGATAAACACCAGTCCCAACTGCACACCAAAACACCATGAGGACACACACTGGCCCATCAGGTAGTAAGTAAAGGGTTACAACATAGTTACTATGCAATTTTCTGCGTAACAGCGCGACATTTTACTCGTTAAACGTCTAGAAAAGGCCTTCGTGAACCGTTGAGGTTTAAACGTGAGCTCGTCGCGGCAGATGGAGGGCGTGTGCCGAGGGGTGTGTTGTGCATTCCAGCGCGGCACCTTGCGCTCTCCATTAGGCCCGTGTTTTTCCACATTTTAGCTCGATATTTCACCTAGTTTCTCTTCGGTTAGAGTGTGACATTCGCGAGTGTAAGTAAGTTAAGTCAATTAAAAAGGAAATGTTTTACATCACAATCTGCATAACGTTAAAACAAGATGTCGCTTAAATTATACATTAACCAAGACGCTCACAAATGAGGAAACAACACCAAATATATTCGCAGCATTGCTTACAGTATGTTTTCAAGTGCCAAATTGTATTCATTGTGTAAAGGAGCTAGAGTATATAATTAAACATATATAATTATTTAAATTAATAAATACATAATTAATTACACATTACACAATGTTCCCAAATTAATAGAAAAACACAATTTTAACAGAGAGAAAAGCAGTGTCGTCTTTTAGAAATCCTTTTAAAACTGATCACATTACGTAAACATTCAGCAATGCTTGACTGCAACGGAAAAGCGTGTAAATAATACAAATTAAGTTAGGCACAGATTTAAGCCACAAACAAAAGAAAGCGCGTATTTCGTCATACGAAGCGAAATTCTTCGTTAAGTTCCAACGGTCGGAACTTAACGAATTCCGCTCAGAACTGACATGTCAGTCAGCACGATATGACAAATAACTGTCACCGCGAGAGCATCGAACGAGTTCGAATCGCACATCGAAGAGAGTGACGCGAAAATGGCAGACAGAAAATGCGCGATCAGAAAGAGTTGACAGCGCCGTTTAGCAAGTGACAGAGCTTTGCCTACCTGTTTTCGAAGACAACCGAGTATCCTCTCTCTGCACTTGAGTGATGATAGAACTTTCCATCTAACAAACGCACAGCCCTCAACGTCCAACCAACCTTTTCCAGCGACAAACAGTCGGTCCGCATTTAGTGGCATTAAAAGCTAGCGAGGCTTGAAATGAATAATTTCCGTTGGCGCAAACAATCTCAAACCTACAGCGACAAATTATTTTGATATTTATTTATTCCCGCCTTCTATTCTCTTCCACATGGGAGGGGCATGACACTTTGTTGTGTTTTTTCTTATCTGCTATTTTCTAGGCTTCGCGTCTCGGTTTACTTTATCGCTTGTATATTTATCCATAGCCCCCTCTAGTCTAGGTAAAGCCCTCACTTTTTCTCCAACAACATGGAGAATCCAGGCGAAAGAAGAAAAACAACCGAGGACATGGGGCAGGGACGGTTTCAAGTTCCCCTTACTACAGATAAACAACCCCGTAGCTGGGCTATTTCCAAAACAGTATTTCGGGAAAAGACACCACCAATACGATCAGATGTGCCGTTTAAGAAGATAAAACGCTAAAATAGGCGAACATCGACGATTTTTATGTTTTTCCGTGTATTGTTTTGCTTTGGACGGACTCTGAGGGGCGCCTTGAAACAGCTGGTCGTTTCGGATTGGATCTCCTAGAAGTGGGAGTAGCTGAAGCATTCTTCTGTTCTGCACACTCCATACCGAAAACATTCCAGTGCTGGATTTGTCGCAAATCAGTAGTCAGAAGCTGGAGTCGTGTTAAATCTAAATTACACTGTCGGAATGCTAATTTAATAAGGAGGAAATTGTGAAGGAAACGCGTGATGGGCTTGAATTGATAGCATCAGAAAGATACGGTTTAATGGTTTTTCTATTGATCTTCGTCTTCATCATCAATGCGGCATTGATGATGATGATGGTGAGGATTAATTGAGGTTATACATTGAACAGTATCTGTCCGAAATAACTGAATAGCCCAGAAATGATTTGCATTTTTTATCCTAAGAAATATACAAACAAAGTAGGTCTTACATAAGACAAGCATAAAGTAATCAAATCAAATATAGGTGTGAAAAAACAATGTATGGTAAGGACAATTGTACTCTACATAAAAAAATAAATAAGTTAATAAAAAATAAATGATAGAATAACAATTTTTTTTGCAAAAAATACAATTGCAAAATTAAAATGTAAAAAAAGCTAGAATAATAATAAAAAACAATGTTAATCTAAAATTCATTAAAGGGATACTTTACTGTTTGTTTATACCTAAATAACCCAGAGCACAATCAAGCTATTAATAAAATTATTATTCAAAGAGAAATACTAAATCATTGAGTGCAAAATGTTGTATTTCTGCAAAAAATGATGCAAATGTAAATTTTGATTGAAGAATGTAAAATTTTTCAATGTCTCTGTCATTAAACTAAACAAAAAACAAATAAATAAATTCATGAATTAATTAATAATCAACAAAATAATATAAACTGTTTCCATAAATGTAATGCTTTGGTAAGAATATTGAGTCATTCTGCAAATAATTGAATCTTTTGCATCAATTACAGCCTAAAGTAATTTGTTTGTTTCATCTAAAGCTAAAATGAATTAAAGACATGTTCGTGTGTACATTTATAAAATAAATAAACTTTTGCACAATAAAGTTATTAAATTATCATTTTAAGTTCTTTTGAATAAACAAATAAACATATTTTAACTACTGAAAAAAATGAATGCAAATAAAAATGTTGTCTGATGAATGTTTAATGTTTCAGTGTTTGAAGTTCAAAATAATAATTAAAAAGAACAAAACATGCTGACGATGTTATCATTTGCAACTTGAATGCTTTTATAAGAATATTTCATGTCACAATATAAAATATAGTCATTAAAAACGGCAAAAACTCTGCAGTGGTGTAAAGAAGTTTTGACCAAGAATTGAATCCTTGAAGGATTTTAATATTTAAAAAACATAAATGCTCAATACGTAAACGATACATATTTTATATATAAATTGAAAAATGTATGAAGATTTATATGCATTTATTTATGTATTATATATCATCTTTGTATCAAATTACAAAAAACGAATTACTACTTATGTGAGACGATTGTAATGCAGCATCTATCGGGCTGAGAGTAAATTTGTTTGTTGTCATCAGTCTCACACTATTTTCCCCCTTTCTCTGAAAGTCTTTATAACACCATCGTGGTGTTTTTCTTTTATTATATCAGCAAATGGGATTGCAAAAAAAATACTTATGCTGCTGAGAAACCCAGAAATGTGAAATGTGATTTACATGTAATCATTTAGGAATTTTGTACATTTATTTGGTAGTTATGGTGGCTTCAATTTTTTTTTGGAATGAAAATGTAATCCATTGTGTTATGTCTATATTTTTGTAATCTTTAAGTTAAATGAACAGAGGTAGAGGATAGTAAATGTAAGTGATAAAAGAGCAACAGTTTTTATGAGTCTAAGCGCTGCCCAGAACTCCTGTGTTGGAAATCTATTCCTGAATATTCCCAAATGGGACCAATTCTATACCACAAAACCAAGACATAAACAAGAATGGTACCACTGTTTACATTTTCGAAATGTGGAAGTTGGGCAGATGTCAGATATGTGACTAAAATAAATGTAAGCTAGAGTTCCAAAACATGTTCTGCTTTTGAAAAAAAGTGTTCAGTTTTTGCAACTCTGCAACAAAAGACAGGGAATGTTAAATATTGCTTGGGCTCATAATATCAAACTGTTATTTTAAACAAATATAATTAAAAGGAAACATATAAAAATAACACTACACATTTGAATGTGTATTTAAGCTAAAAGGTGTGTTATAAACGTTGCTGACTTAATAGTAACATAATTACTTTATCTCTAGCTACATACTTACCAAATATGGATATAAACAAATTAAACAAATTAGGGTTTAACAATAGCAGAACCAATAATCTATATAATGTATCAGTAATCAGAAACCTTTTTGTTCCTAATAGTACCTTTCTTTTACTTAAATTTTTTTTATGTGTTTTTAGTAAACATGGTTATCAACAATGGTGCAGAATTCGTTAACACTGACTTGGTTCAATGCATGGTTGATAACAATATGTAACAAAATTAAAAAAATACAAATTTATGTATTCACACATAAACAAACACACATATATGAATATATATGCATATAGAAACCTGTAAATAAGTATAAAAAAGAAAAAAACTATATACATAATATCAGAGACGTACATAAATGGACAAAAGTGCCTAATAAAGTTAGTGTAAAACATATCAAACCGAAAGAAAAGATGTTTGTTGTCACCTATATCTGAAAAGGCATCTTAATCTATTCTCCTATGTTGTTAAATTAAATCACTTAAGTTTTAATAATGGAGATCAAATTGTTATGTATTTGTTTCCAATGAAGAATTGTTGAACTCTTTGCTCTGTTAATTAAGGCAGTGGATTGTTCTAGTTGAACAATGTTTATAAAAGAGTATAAAGGTATCATGAAGATGCTGACAAGACCTTATCAGCGTAAAATATAACCTTATTAATAATGGTTTATTTCTTTTCATTATTAATAGTATAGTATTAACTATCACACAGCACGCTGTTAGGTACTATTATTTTTTATTTAAGATATTGTCGCAAAAATTACAGTTCTGTAACCACAATTTTTGACTGAATACACTTATTTAGGGGTTTTTCATCTTTAATAGTCGGGACAGTGAAGTGGGGACAAGAATGATCGACAATGAACCTCGATCCAGTCATCAAACTTGGTTTGCCAAGCTAATAGGCTATTGACTCCGATAGCATTTATTTATTTATTTTTTTTTTGTACTTTTGATCAAATACATGCTGTGTTTCGGATATCACAACATTCAAAATACACATTTCATTTTAGAATTAAAGATGTCTCTTGGTTATTTAGTTGTCAAAAGTAGCAAATTGAACATAGCGTATGGACCCTTCGCTGTGTTAAAACGAAAAAGTGGTAAGTAAATAACAGCTCTAATGTTTTGTTTTTTACTGAGTATGTTGCTCAAATCTATCTGGTAATCTCACATTCCATCCTTCCTTCATTCACCAACAAGACCCCAGGATACTTGAACTCCTCCACCTGAGGAAAAACATCATCTGCAAATATAGAGATGAAATCCTGTGGTCCTAGAAAGGATATAGATCTGGTCCAGTGTTCCAAGACCCAGACAAAAAATAATTGAATCTGAGGTTTTACCTTGAGCAAGATTCCCCCCTCCAGTTCCCTGGCAGAGATTTTCCCAGGTGAGCCTAAAGAGTGTGATCCATCTATAGTTGCAAAACACCCTCTGGTGCTTTTTCTTAGAAAGGGGGACCACCATCCCAGATGCACAGATGTTCAGCACCAATGCAGCCAATGTACTGGTCTGTTGTGATGAAGGTCAATTGAAATTGCTACTCTCCCCTGTGGTCAATTGGCTTTGGTTCTTGTAGGACAAGGTCTTCAATACAAGCAGCAATACTTTGCAGGGTGCACGCTTAGGTGCGGAGCTCTGTCACCCGGAAGGAGCTTGTAGTAGATCCACTCTTTCCCATTGAGGGGAGCCAGATAAAGTGGCCTTGACATCAGTTTCCGATGCCTTATGGATGCCTACCTAGGGCAGTGTTAAGGGCTTGCCCTACCACAACAAAGTTTCCAGGGAAGACCCAGGACATCCTTGAAGGTCTGTGTCTCCTGGCTTGCCTGGGAACGCCTTAGGATACCCCGTAGGAGCTGGAGGAAGTGTCTGGGGAGAAGGAAGTTTGGAGCTTCTTGATGAAACTGCTGCAACTTTAACCCGGTCTCAGATAAGTGGTTGATAAGGGATAAATGAGTGTGTTTATACATACATGAAAGTAATAATTACAAAAAAAAGCCTTTACAAAAATGCCTTTATTTTTATTTTTATTTCTTTTTCTTAATTTTATTTTGATTTATTTTCTTACAATTAATTTATTATTTACAATTTTACTAGTGGAGAAAAGGTTCTTTAACCAAATAGTTCTTGTAACACTTTAAAAAGTAAAAAAGACATGACTTGTAAATCAGTTAAAATTTGTTAAATTAAAATGTATAAACGTTTTACAAAAAAGTAAATTACCTGTTGAGAGAGTATTGACAGCCTTTGTTGTTGAAAATTGAGCTCCAAAATCCATGTAAACTCTTTTCACAAGACTGTGAGGATGTTTCAGTGGTCATTAGTCTTGTTAATAATCATCCAAGGTGTTTCTAATGCAGTGTATAAGGGTGGGACAGTAGATTTGATATTGTTCTCTCTTCTGTTATCAGTCTCACATTCTTTTTCCTTTTTTGCAAGTTGAAAAAAAAACACTACTGTGAATTTTTTCGTTTGTCATTTGAGCAAAGTGCAAAGCAATAGAATACTGTGAATGTGAAAAAGAGCTATTAGGTGCTTTGACCGTTTACAGATTATAAAAAAAGGTGGGAAAAAGAACCCTAAACTCTAACCTGAATAACCATTTCAGCAGTCCTCAGGATAATACAGTTCTAAATTGAACTTCTACTATCATGTTATGA